AGACAGGATTTCACTGTGTTAGCCAGGATGGTTTCGATCTCCTGACCTCGTGATCCACCTGCCTTGGCCTCCCAAAGTGCTGGGATTACAGGCGTGAGCCACCGTGACCGGCCCCTATGTGGAGTATTTCTATAATTCACCAGTCATTTAAACTATGTTACAGAATAGGTTTGATTAATATTTTTACTTTAGTCTATAAAAAGCATAATAATAAATAATGTAGTGCTCTTACAACATGAAAAAAAAAACAAAAAAAAAAACCTGACAGTTTTAGAATCTTTTCTTGGTTTCTCTGAGAACTTTGTTGTGAATCTCCCTCAAGTTACTTAAATGGTTTTAAATTTTTGGGAAAGGTGAAGAATACAGAAACTACAAAGAGGAAAATCTGTAAAACTCAGCAAACTTTTTCTTTAAAAGTCTAGATAGTAAATATTTTAGACTTTGCAGGCTCTATGGTTGCAACTGTAGACTCTGTCACCTCTGCCATTGTAGTGCAGAAGCTGCCATAAATAATACATGAAAGAGTGAGCGTGGCTATGTTCCAGTAAAATTTTATTTACAAAAACAGATGGTGGGCTGGACGTGGTGCACAGGCCATAGTTTGCCAACCCCTGCTCTATGATATTCCCACCATCCAGAATTAACCATTGTTAGATTTGGTTTATTTGCTCAGTTTCTTTCCCCTACCTTTTTCTCTTCTTTAAAAAATTAATCACTGCTACCAGTTCATCTCCTTTTTACATCCCTGGAAGCAACTACTATTATGAGTTTAGTGTGTGTTCTTTTAGATGGTCTTGTAATCTTTCATATTTACAGATCCATGGAAAATATTTAATATTGTTTTTAAAAATATCTATCCATGTTGATACTGAGTAGGTTTGGTACATTCCTGTTGATTATAGTAATATTTTGCCTGTAGGTACCACATTTTATTTATCCGTTGCCCTATTGAAGAACATGAGATCGTTTCCAGGTTTTCACTATTAAAAATCTTTGCAGCTAGGCACGGTGGCTCATGTCTGTAATCCCAGCATTTTGGGAGGCCAAGGTGGACAGATCTCTTGAGCTCAGGAGTTTGAGACTAGCCTGGACAACATGGCAAAACCCCATCTGTACTGAAAATACAAAAAATTAGCGAAGTGGTGGCAAGTGCATCTAGTCCCAGCTACTTGTGAGGCTGAGATGGGAGAATCACCTGAATCCAGGAGTTCAAGGCTGTAGTGAGCCTTGATTGCACCACTGCACTCCAGCTTGGGTGACAGAGCGAGACCCCGTCTCAAAAAAAAAAAAAAAAAAAAAATCTCTGGGGTGAAACAATCCTCCTGCATTGACTTTCCAAACTACTGGGATTATAGGCCTGAGCCACCACACCCAGCCCTACGTACAGGTTTTGTGTGGATTTATGTTATGCAGTGAGCAAAGATGGCACCACTGCACTCCAGCCTGGGCAACAGGAAAAAAAAAAAAGAGTTTTGTAATTTTGACTCTTAAGTTTAGGTCTGTAATCAATTTTAAGATAACGTGTATATATATATATATTACATGAGGTAAAGGTCCAAATTCATTTTTTTGCATGTGTATATCCAGTTCTTCCAGCAGCATTTTTTGAAGACTTCCCATTGAATTGACTCAACACAATTCAGTGTTAGAAATCAATTGACCACAAACGTGGGTTTTTTTCTGGGTGTTCAATTCTATTGCATTGATCTGTATACTTATCCTTATGCCAGTATCACACTGTCTTGATTACTGTAGCTTTCAACTTTTGATTACTGTAGCTTTTAAGTTTTTTTTTTGTTTTGTTTTTGGGGGGTGGTTTGGAGGGGTTTTTTTTTTTGAGACAGAGTCTTGCTCTGCCGCCCGGGTTGGAGTGCAGTGGCCTGATCTTGGGTCACTGCAGCCTCTAACTCCCAAGTTAGCCTCCCACTTCAGCCTCCTGAGTAGCTGGGATTACAGGGGTGCACCACCACCAGGCTAATTTTTGTATTTTTAGTAGAGACGGGGTTTTCTTATTTTGGCCAGGCTGGTCTTGAACTCCTGACATCAGGTGGTCCACCCGCCTCAGCCTCCCAAAGTGCTGGGATTACATTTGTGAGCTACCACGCCAGGCCTGTTTCTTTAGATATTTCTTTCTGTCTCTTTCTCCTTTCCATCTGGTACTCTTGTTACATGTAGTTGCTGTACTTAATGGTATCCCACATTTCTCTGAGGCTCTATTTCTCTTTATTCTTTTTCTCTTTGTTCTTCAGATTCCATAGTCTCTCTTGATCTGTCTTCAAGTTTACAGATTATTTTCTTCCTGTCGACTCAAACCTATTGAGCCTCATTTTGGTTATTTTTTTTCCTCAACAGCTTCACTTGCCAATATTTTACTTTCTAACCCCAGAATTCCCATTTGGTTCTCTCTTTTTAATAATTTCTATCTCTTAATGATATTCCGTCTATGATGAAAACTTGTCATTATACCTTCCTTTAATTCTTTAAGCATGGGATCCGACAGGAGAGGCAGACCCTGTCTGGGCTGCACCTACCTGGAGTAGAACCCTTGGAGCTGGGAGCTGGCTGGGTAAGGGATCAGGTCACAGCTCAGATGCAACAGCCTCTTGTTCTTAGCAATATTCAGTTGATTATTTTTTATTTTTTTGAGATGGAATCTCACTCTGTTACCTAGACTGGAGCACAGTGGTGCAATCTCGGCTCACTGCAATCTCCGCCTCCCAGCTTCAAGTGATTCTCCTGCCTCGGCCTCCCAAGTAGCTGGGATTACAGGCACCTGCCACCACGCCCAGCTAGTTTTTGTATTCTTAGTAGAGATGGGGTTTGCCATGTTAGCTAGGCTAGTCTTGAACTCCTGACCTCAAGTGATCCGCCCACCTCAGTGTCCCAAAGTGCTGGGATTACAGGCATGACCCACTGCACCCGGTCTAGTTGATTTTTTTAAATAATATTTCTCCAAGTGCTGAATGACCTTAGGACAATTTCCAGAGACTTTAGTGTGCTGTTTTTATATATACGTATACTTGTCATGAGTTAATTTGTTTGCTGAGTTCCTTCCTCTACCTTTTCTGAAGTGCTGCCCTCTCCCATGGGATTTTTTTTTTTTTTTTTTTGAGATGGAGTCTCGCTCTGTCGCCCAGGCTGGAGTGCAGTGGTGCCATCTTGGTTCACCACAAGCTCCGCCTCCTGGGTTTACACCATTCTCCTGTCTCAGCCTCCTGAGTAGCTGGGACTACAGGCGCCCGCCACCATGCCTGGCTAATTTTTTTGTATTTTTAGTAGAGACGGGGTTTCACTGTGTGTTAGCCAGGATGGTCTCAATCTCCTGACCTCGTGATCCACCCACCTCGGCCTCCCAAAGTGCTGGGATTACAGGCGCGAGCCACCGTGCCCGGCCAACCCACGAGATCTTCAAGAGCCTGCTTTCAGCTGCATCCACACAGGCAGGCAGAGGACCCTGTGGGTTACCTGCTGTCTGTCTTTTTGAGCCTTTTCACTCTGTGTTTTCTAGATCAAGTGGATGGGTCTTTTGGCATCTGTGTGGTGAAGGATGACACCAAGATCAGCATTGAGCCGTAAGTTGGGTCCTTCCCAGTGAAGCTGCTTTTACCCCACCTTGAGTTCTAGTGTCACTTTTCCCAAGCGTTCCTTCTTCCCATGGCGGGGGGTTCAGGTTTACTCACATAGGCTCCCTAGGCATGAAGCGGTCGATTTTTCCAAGTATATGTAGGAAGATCCCCCAAAATTATTCCTTCTAGAAATTGTTTATATATATAGGGTTCCAGGTAGAATTGGTGACGGCACAGAGCGGGACTCCAGTGTGCCTGAGGGATGTGGCTGGATGGCTGTGGTGTGGACGTAGACACATGCCGGGTGTCAGCTTGTACCTCCACTGCCTTGACCCTAAGAGAGAAATGTGACAATGAAGGAAAACAGAGGAAGGGAAGAAGTGTCCCTGCAGAAGTTTCTGAAATGCCTGTGTGCGTCTGTCGGGGACAGCATGTACCTGATGCACCTGAGACAGCAGAGGGTTTCCACAGAGCAGGCTGTAGCCCAAGAGCAGGGCACACAGTGTCTCCATTTCACTTCCCATCTCAGTCATGTTTGTACGTCTCCCTTACCTGTGTGTGTGGCCTCGTTTCAGACATATCAATATAGGAAGCCGGTTTCAGGCAGAGATCCCAGAACTTCAGGAAAGATCCCTGGCTGGAATTGACGAGCATGTAGCTTCTCTGGTCTGGAAGCCATGGGGAGATATGATGATCAACCCAGAGACACAGGATAGAGGTGGCTGAGGCTTTGGGGCTAAATTCCTAAGGGCCCTTCTTTCCCCTCCATTTCCAGGGTGTTTTTCCTCCTGGGTCTAGAACTCCTGACCACTGGATCCAAGAAGCAGTGTGCCCTGGGCGTGGGAGGGAGCTGGCCCTTGGCCAGTGTTGCTTCTTCCCTGCTGCATTCTCCCTCCCCTACCTCTTTTGTCATATGGTGGCTGGTCAGGCCATCCAGAGCGGGTGCTGGGGACAGGGTTCTCCTCTTCCTCCTTGTCCCTCCCTGAGATGCAGGAGAGAGAAGGGGAAGGTGCCCCTCTCTGCTGTCTCTCGGGAAGGGTTCCTCCCTAGCAGCTGATGACTCCTGTGTGCCTCCTCTTCCTCATGTCCTTCTTGGAAACAGTGACTGAGCTCTGCAACGTGGCGTGCTCCAGCGTGATGCCAGGAGGGGGCACCAACCTGGAGCTCGCTCTGCACTGCCTGCACGAGGCTCAGGGCAACGTTCAGGTGAGGCACAGCAAGGGGACCCTCCCTGCTTTCCTGGGACCCAGGGTTCTAGGTGCATGTGACATGTGTCTGCTTCGGGGTTCAGAGCGGATGGAAGCTGGAAGAAGGCCGCCCATCCTTCTCTACAGTGGCTTTGAGATTGCAGTGGTCCTTGTACACGGACTGTAGGGGAATGCTAAGACATGGGCCCAATTCGTAGCTAATTGTCTGGGGCAACAACCAAGCACAGTGTTTCCTCTGAGATCTCAGGGGGCACTGGAGAAAGAAAGCCCCGAAGACCCAGCTCAGGCCCTGCATTCATCTACTTCATTCCTTGAGTTTTAGCTTTCAATTGAAAACTCATATATACAAACCTCTGATGCAACATAAATGCCTCTGCCTACTCCAAGGACCGTCCGCCTCACAATTCTGGGTGTTAGAAAGTAAATTAAAAGTCTTACTGTGAGGAGTGGGAGAGGAAGAGCCATATTGCCTGTGTTCAGGATCTAAGAGTCATGCCGTGGTCTTGCTTTTCACCAAGCTGAGAGGCAGTGTCTGGCATATAGCAGGTCCTCAGCACAGTGGCAGTACCTATTTATTGGGTACCTGCTGGTTGCCTGTACTGTAGGCACTGGGGCCAGGGCCAGCTGAGGGACTCCATGCTTGATTTAATGCTCTGCTGTCTCTGTCTTGAAATTCTTGGCCAGGCGCGGTGGCTCACGCCTGTAATCCCAGCACTTTGGGAGGCCGAGATGGGTGGATCACCTGAGCTCAGGAGTTCAAGACCAGCCTGGACAACATGGTAAAACCCCATCTCTACTAAAAATACAAAAATTAGCCAGGCACGGTGGTGGGCGCCTGTAATCCCAGCTATTTGGGAAGCTGAGGCAGAAGAATTGCTTGAACCTGGGAGGTGGAGGTTGCAGTGAGCCAAGATTGCACCACTGCACTCCAGCCTGGGCAACAAAGTGAGACTCCGTCTCAAAAAAGAAAAAAAAACAAACAGAAATTCTTAATGCTTTTTAAACAAGGAGCCCTGCATCTTCATTTTGCAATGGGCCTCACAAATTATGCAAACCCTGCAATGATGGCTTACACTAGTGATCGACATAAAATCCCTGCCCTAAGGGGGCTTACATTTTAGGAAAGTCAAAAGGAAATTTATTTTTAAAAATTGTTAGCTAGGCTGGGCACATGGCTCACACCTGTAATCCCAGCACTTTGGGAGGCTAAGGCAGGCGGATCACCTGAGGTCGTGAGTTCGAGACCAGCCTGGCTAACATGGTAAAATCCCATCCCTACTAAAAATACAGAAAAAAAAAAATTAGCAGGGAGTGGTGGCAGATGCCTGTAGTCCCAGCTACTTGGGAGGCGGAGGCAGGAGAATCGCTTGAACTGGGAGGTGGAGGCTACAGTAAGCCAAGATCATGCCACTGCACTCCAGCCTGGGTGACAGAGCAAGACTCTGTCCCAAAAAAAGGAAAATTGTTAGCCAGCTGAGTACAGTGGTACCCACCTGTATTCCTGGCTACTTGGGAGGCAGAGACTGAAGGAGCCCAGGAGTTGGAGCTCAGCCTGGACAACATAGTGAGACCTCGTCTTTAAAAATAAAATAAAATGTTTTCAATTGTTAGCTATTGACTAGTGCTATGAAGAAAATAAAAATGGGGACCTAGACAAGGGTCATATTCCTCAAAGTGCCATTCCCTAAGGAGCTTGTGCCAGAATAAATCTACACACAGTCTCCTTCATCAAGATAGGCCTGCTGTGAAAAAATAACTTCAGCTGCATTCGGTGGTGTGCCTGGTGTCATAGTTGATGTGCCCACAGACAGTTACAGGCTGGTGGCCCATCCAGGGCTACTTTGAATAACCCTGGGACAGGCAGTGACTTTAGGGACAGCCACAAGTGTTTTTCAGATGAATGGGAGGATGCCGGTGGTCCTCTTCCCCCACCTGGTCCTGGGCAGCCTGCCATTCCTCTTGTTCCAGGTCGCCCTGGAGACTCTCCTGCTCCGAGGGCCCCACAAGCCACCGACACACCTGCTCGCTGACTATCGCTACACAGGTGACAGGGAAAGGCTGCCGGGCTGGTTTGGCCCAGCTGAGACCCCTATGAATCGGCCAGTTCTGTTGCAAGCTCTGCCTCTGTCTCCTGGAGTTCTCTTCGGGGCCTTTGCCTGCCTTTCAGGAGGGCCTCTCCTTATCAGGATGACTCAGTGGGCCCCACACTCTGCTAGTGGGATCCTGCTTCACCCTTTCCCAGTGGTTTCCTTACAGACTCTGCCCAGCCACAAAGGGAATGATCCTGGCCAGCGGGAGGGGAGATGGGCTTAGGTTCAGTGGTTGAATCCATCAGCCCTGGAGACAGGCTGCCAGGGCCCCCACCTGCCCTTAGGAAGCGACTGAAGCTTCAGTTGCCACATCTGTTAAGTGGGGCTAGTAGTGGTCCCTCCCTTCTGGAGACTCGGAGTTTTTTTTATGAGTTTGGCACATAATTGGTGCTCAGTAATGGCAGCTATAAAAGGGAAAGTGGTCTGCATTTCAGCCATGGCTGTGGTCCCAGGACAAATGGCCTTCCCCCTGTCGGCTGTGTTCTTTGATAGGTTCAGACGTCTGGACCCCTATAGAGAAGAGGCTTTTTAAGAAGGCGTTCTATGCCCACAAGAAGGACTTCTACTTGATACACAAGACGGTAAAGTGAATGTGGGCTGGTGTCCAAGGCCCTGCCTCACACAGCTGAGACAAGCTCGAGCTGCAGGGCTGGTCGGGGTCGGAGGGCCCCACCCTCACCTGCCTGTGGCAGCACTCTTAGTGTAGACAGTTTACAATGTCAAAAAGTCATCCTCGTGAACAGCTCCAAATGGTAGAGACCTGCATCACCTGCACACAACAGTCTTCCATGCCCCTCCTCGCAGTCCTGCTTCTGATTGGTGACCTCTGTTACGTATTCCACCAAGCAACAGGCGTTTCTGTCTGTACAGATTTTATATATACAGGTATGCATATACTTTTAAAAAGATAAGGGCCATCCATGGTGGCTTATGCCTGTAATCCCAGCACTTTGGGAGGCCAAGGCGGGAGGATCACTTGAGGTTCCAGACCAGCCTGGCCAACATGGTGAAACCCCGTCTACCCAAAATACAAAAATTAGCCGGGCATGGTGGTGAGTAATCCCAACTAGATGGCAGGCTGAGGCATGAGAATCATTTGAACCCGTGAGGCAGAGGTTGCAGTGAGTGGGGATTGTGCCACTGCACTCCAGCCTGGGTGACAGAGTAAGATTCTGTCTCAAAAAACAAACAAACAAACCAGGTGTGGTGGTTTACACCTGTAATCCCAGCACTTTAGGAGGTCGAGGTAGGTGGATCACCTGAGGTTGGGAGTTCCAGACCAGCCTGACCAACATGGAGAAACCCCGTCTCTACTAAAAATACCAAATTAGCCGGGCGTGGTGGTACATGCCTGTAATCCCAGCTACTCGGGAGGCTGAAGCAGGAGAACTGCTTGAACCTGGGAGGCGGAGGTTGCGGTGAGCCAAGATCCCACTATTGCACTCCAGCCTGGGCAACAAGAGTGAAACTCCATCTCAAAAAAAGAAAAAAAGGATGAGGTCAGGTGCATTGGCTCATGCCTATAATCCTAGCACTTTGGGAGGTCAAGATGGGAGGACTGCTTGAGCCTAGGAGTTCAAGACCAGCCTGGGCAATATAGTGAGACCTTGTCTCTACAAAAAAGTTAAATACTAGCTTAGCTTGGTGCTGCGTGCCTGTAGTCCCAGCTACTCAGGAGGCTGAGGTGGGAGGATTGCTTGAGCCTGGGAGGTGAAGGCTGCAATGAGGCAAGATTGCGCCACTGCACTCCAGCCTGGGTGACAAAATGAGACTGTCCCCCCAAAAAAACCCAAAGGATAAGATCTCACTACATATAATGTCCTGCTGCTTATTTTCTGTTAAAAAAAAACACAAAAAACTTGGATGTACACAAAATTGCACATAATTGAAGTATAATAAGATTTGCTAAGTTTTGACATATTGATACTACACCTGGGAAACCATCACCACAGTCAACATAAAGAGCGTGTCCCTCAGCCCTGAATCTCCTCCTGCCCCATAGTAATCACTCCCCATTGCACCCCCTGTCCTCAGTCAGCACTGATCTGCCAGGGCACTGTAAGTTCATTTTCATTTCCTAGAGTTTGCTATAAATGGAGTAGTCACACAGTATGAACTCTGCTTGGTCCAGCTTCTCGCACTCAGCATCATGATTTTGAGTTCATCCATGTTCCATGTATTGATAGATCTCCCCTTTTCACTGCTGAATAGTATTCCACTGGATGGACGTACCACGGTTTATGTAATCATTTGCCTGTTGGTGGACATTTGAATGGCTTCCAGTTTGGGGTGACTATAAATAAATTTGTTATGAACATTCAGGTACAAGTCTTGGTATTGACATGTACTTTGTTTTCTAGAGGAGTAAATACCAGGAATGGAATGACTTAGTAGGTGTATGCTTAACTTTTTAATAAACCGCCAAACAATTTTCCGAAGTAGTTGTATCATTTCACATTTCTACCGGCAGGAAATGAGATGTCTAGTTGCTCCACAACCTCGCTAGCCCTGGGTAGGGCCAGTCCTTTTAATTCCAGCCATTCTCATGACAGTGTGGTGGCATCGCATGGTGTTTCCTTCATGACTGACAATACTGAGCATCTTTTCATGGGCCTGTTTACTGTCTGTATGCCTTCTTTGGTGAGGTGTCTGTTCATATCTCTTGCATATGTTTTTATTGGGATGTCTGTGTTTTGTTTTGTTTTTTGTTTTTGTTTTTGAGATGGAGTACTTACTCTGTCGCCCAGGCTGGAGTGCAGTGGCACAATCCACGCTCACTGCAACCTCTGCCTCCCAGGTTCAAGCGATGCTCCTGCCTCAGCCTCCTGAGTAGCTGGGATCACAGGTGCCCACTACCACGCCTGGCTAATTTTTGTATTTTTAGTAGGGACGGGGGTTTGCTATGTTGGCCAGGCTGGTCTTGAACTCCTGACCTCAGGTGATCTACCCACATCAGCCTCCCAAAGTGCTGGGATTACAGGCGTGAGCCACCGCACCCAGCCATCTGTGTTTTTATTATTAAGTTGTAGCAGTTCTTTATCGGTTCAGGATACATGTCATTTATCCAGATTCATGCTTTGGGAATGTTTTCTCCCAATCTGTAGCTTTTTAATCTCTTAACAATGTCTTTTAAAGAAAAATGTTGTCATTTTGATGAAGTCGTTTATTAATTTTTCTTTTATGGACTATGCTTTTGGTGTTGTATCTAAGAATTCTTTGCCTAACCCAACCACAAAGATTTTCCCCTTGTTTTCTCTAGAAGTTTTGTGTGTGTGTGTGTGTGTGAGACGGAGTCTTGCTCTGTCGCCCAGGCTAGAGTGCAGTGGCGAGATCTCGGCTCACTGCAAGCTCCACCTCCCAGGTTCATGCCATCCTCCTGCCTCAGCCTCCCGAGTAGCTGGGACTACAGGTGCCCGCCACCACCATGCCCGGCTAATTTTTTGTATTTTTGGTAGAGACGGGGTTTCACCATGTTAGCCAGGATGGCCTTGATCTCCTGACCTTCTGATCTGCCCACCTCAGCCTCCCAAAGTGCTGGGATTACAGGTGTGAGCCACCACGCCCGGCCTTCTCTAGAAGGTTTATAGTTTTAGGTTTTACACTTAGGTTTACAATTCATTTCATGTTAATTTTTGTATATGGTGTAAAATATGAGTTAAAGTTCATTTTTTGCATGTGGATATTCTTTTGTACCTTTTGTTGAAAAGACAAAAAGTAGTACCATACTGTTTTTACTGCTGTAGCTTTATAAGTCTTGAAATCATGTATTACCATATGAACTTTCTAAGTAACTTATACATTTTTATTAAAAAAAAAAAAAAAAAAAAAACCTGCTACGATTTTGATTGGTACTGCATTGACTCTATAGGCCAATTGAGGGAGTTGACTTTTTCTTTTTTTTTTTTTTTGGAGATGGAGTGTTTCACTCTTGTTGCCCAGGCTGGAGTACAGTGGCACGATGTTCACTCACTGCAACCTCCACCTCCCAGGTTCACGCGATTCTCATACCTCAGCCTCCCAAGTAGCTGGGATTACAGGCGCCCACCACCATGCCTGGCTAATTTTTTTATTTTTAGTAGAGACAAGTTTCACCATGTTGGCTAGGCTGATCTTTTGAACTCCTGACCTCAGGTGATCCACCTGCCTCAGCCTCCCAAAGTGCTGGGATTACAAGCGTGAGCCACCGCACCTGGCCAAGGAGAGTTGACATTTTAATAACACTCAGTTTCTGACCCATGAACAGGGGCTGTGTCTCTATGCGTCATCTTTAATTTCTCTTAGCAGTGTTTTCAAGTTTTTATTTGTTCTTATTTCTTTTAAGATCTAGGATCTCACTCTGTCGCCCAAGCTGGAGTACAGGGGTGTGGTCATAGTTCACTGTACCCTTTGACCTCCTGGGCTCAAGTAATCCTCCAGCTTTGAGTAGGTGGGACTACAGGGGTGTGTCATCACACCTAGCTCTGGTATAACATTTTTCTTTTTTTTTTTTTTGAGACAGAGTCTTGCTCTGTCACCCAGTCTGGAGTGTAGTGGTATGATCTCGGCCCACTGCAACCTCCACCTCCTGGGTTCAAGCGATTCTTCTGCCTCAGCCTCCTGAGTAGCTGGGATTACAGGTGCACACCACCACACCCGGCTAAATTTCTTGTATTTTTAGTAGAGATGGAGTTTCCCGATGTTGGTCAGGGTGGTCTCAAACTCCTGACCTCTGGTGATCCTCCTGCCTCGGCCTCCCAAAGTACTGGGATTACAAGTGAGAGCCACCGCGCCTGTCCTCTGGCATAACTCTTTGAACACATATTAAATAGTTATGGTAACCTTTCATGTCCTTCCCTGCTCATTCTAACATCTGTGTCTGTGGTGGGTTGACTTTGACAGATTGGGTTTTCTCCTCCTGATGTGCCATGTTATCCTGCTTCTTAGCATGCATGGTGATTTTCACCAGATCACAGGCATTGTGAATGTTAGCTGTTGGATGCTGGATATTTTTGTAGCCTTATAAATATTCTTGAGTTTTGTTCTGGGACACAGCTACTTTTAGATTCAGTTTTAGATTTTTTAGATGGGACCAGCATAGCTCTTCTCTAAGGCTGATTATTTCTCCTTACTGAGGCAAGACTGTGTCACTGCCCTACCCAGTGCCCCCTGAATCATGAAGTTTCCCACTCTGGCTGTGGGAACGGGCACTCTTCCTGGCGCTGTAGGAGCAGCAGGCACTTTTCCCTCTCATCGTTTTGGATGGCTCTTTACCCAGCTTTGGCTGGTCTGTTCCCATGCATGTGCTGGGCAGTCTTTGGCTGAGTCCTTGGGGGAAATTTGCTCCCCATCTCTGGAGTGTTCTGTGTGCAGCTCTTTCCTCTCCCATCCTCTGTCTTGTGGGCTCTACCGTCCTGGTCTCAGGGGGCACTGTGCTCCACCTCAGCTCCCTAAGTCCTGCTGGGTTCTGTCTAAATTGCCCCTGCCTGGGTGGTGGCCTGGAAACACAAGGTGATAAGCCAGAGCAGTGGCAGCTTACTTCCTGTCAGGGTTCACTGCCCTTTGTTGAATGATGCCTGGTGTCTTACCAAACATTGTTTATATTTTGACTCTGTTTTCATTGTTTTGGACGAGAGGGTAAATCTGGTTCTGTTGCTCCATCTTGTTCAGAAGCAGAAGTCCAACTTTTTTTTAAACTTAGTGATGTTTCTTAGGCAGAGTTTGTGCTGTTTTGACTCCTCGTTTGTGAATACTTAAAAAGTTGAAAAACATTTGGGTGGAGAATG